AATATTACTACTGTTATTTAACCCATTGTTAATATTGTTATGCAATGACCCACCAGACCAAGAATTTGCTTTGCTACAAGTGTTGGAACTAATTAATTGCTTATTTTGTGGATTAGTTTTCCTTTTCTTTTTTGGCAGCATTACAAATGAATGAATATTTTTTATTATTTTTGAGAATAGAATTTGATTGGCTCAAGCCGGCTAAGCCGTTTAAAAATTTCCTAGCCGGCTAACATCACTAGTTAACAGCTAATTTAAGGATCAAAACATGGATTAGGTTGAACCACAAAATTTGAGACTGTTGATCCCTAAGCTCTATCCTCTAGCTGGCTAACCATGGCCATGGCCCAACTTACTAATTAAAAAGAAGGTACAAAATCCTGATTTTAACCACAAAACTGCCCATATCCCCTGTTAAAAGGTTTAGCTGGACTCCAGAAACTCGAAATTTGGAATCACCGCACAGTTATACCAAATTTTAAACTAGTACAAATTTAAAAATGATCTGTAGGAATATCCAATCAAATACAATATTTCTACAGATACTTTCTAAACTTGTATTAGTTCTAAATTCGTTATAACGAAGTTTGACAGGACCCGAACAATCTTAGGAGATGGTACATTTCAATTCTGGGTAGAAATGGCCCTCAAAATCGAATATCTTTTCTTAATTAGGATAAATTTTGTGATGATCTCGTAAATTATTTCCAAAAATGGTAATAAAGTGGGTATTTTTTCAAATGTACCATCTCCTAAGATTGTTCGGTGAATTAGTCTATTTATGTTAGGAATCCTCGTAATTAGCCAATAAGATTTTAGGTAAATTCATTAGTAAAAAAAATTTCCATTGTAATTGACTGATGTTGACTAATTTGCAAATTTTTTTGATCCCTGAAATTTCTTTGTTCACTCGTCTGGTTTTGTTGCAGTTAATTCTAATTTTCTAATTGCAATACGTGATTATCCAAAAATTTTTTATAAATAAATAAATGTTTACTTTATGCACATACGTACAGAAAAAACTGATTTTTGAAAATGAATATACAGTTAAAACAACTTGCAGATAAATCTAGAAAAACTGTAAATTCCATTATAAAAAATGATCTTCCCCCTATAGAAAGGAACTTGGAACAAATTGAGAAACAATCGCGTAAACTTGCCGATAAAGTTATTAGACTTGGTGAAAATACAGAAAGAAAAACGTAAATAGCATATTGTATACCGTTATTCTTTTTTTTTTCATTTTCTATTTTTTTTTATTAAAAATTATTATTATGCGTCTTTAGTCCTTTTTTTTTGGCTAATATTGGAATTGATGGTGATAAATTGTCACAGGATTTAAATAGCATCAATATATTTAATACTTTTGAACCAAGAATTGTTTTATCAGACACCGATGTTGAAGTAAGATTATCCATCCTCTTGAATCTTGAAGATGATTGATTAGAATTTTTGATTGACCTTTTAATTAACATACTATTATGGATCGAATGTCAATACTACCACTGATATGAAATTATTATTATTAAAGAAGTATCTTGACCATAATCATCAAAAGGCATTTACTGAGACTATTAAAGATGGTCATACACAGGTTTTTTTCAAAATTAAAAATTATTGTAATAAATAAAATTTCAAAAAAAAAAAAAAAAAATAATATAATTATTAATCAAATTTTAGACAATAAACGAATGTAATTCACTTTATGACAAATTTCTTATTAAAGATTGGGCAAATACAAAAAAGCAAGCATTCGGAGAACTTGGACAATTCAATGTCAGCAGTTCGAGTTCAAGTCAAATAGTATGTACAATTTTTTATATAGATGTTTATATATATATGTATATCAGCAAAGATCCTTTTGAGCATTTCAATTAATGCGATTGCTTTTGCTACTCCGCTTACATATTCCCAATTAGCAACGATCATATATTCCTATAACAGGTCATCATTCTTCCATCAAATCAACAATAAATTTAAATCAACGTCACATGGTTTATTTCGATATTGTGGTAAAATTGAATGATTCTAGACTATTTGATCGTGATTATGGTGTTATTTCTGAATTTTTCTTGGCATCAAAAAAAATTTCAATGGATTATGTATGTGAATTCATTTATTTATTTTTATGTTGATATATAATTTGACATTAAAAAAAATTTTTTTTTTGCTATTATAGAGTAAGAAACTTATTGATTGTTGGCAAGCACTTAAACACATTGTTGGAGAACATAATGTTATTGAAGGAACATTTAGACGAAACGCTTTGAAGCAACGGTGTTTCGCTCAAGTATATGAAACACCACTTCAAAATCCTTTATATAAAGAATTATGCAAATCTTTTATAAATGGTGCCAAAAAATATTTGGAAGAAATGTATCCAATGATAAACAATAATTCTTTTTTGTTGATTGTAACTTGATATTACATGTATATTTGATCCTTAACTAATCAATTGAATAGATATTGTACTTGGTCAAGGGATATGATAGATTCTTTTAGAAATGAAGCAATGATGGGGGGTCAACCATCAGCTATTAACATGGCACTTGGACTTTTGCGTGTTATTCATAGACTAAACGGAGGTATCTCAACTCAGAATCTAGAGGTTTTTTATTTATTTAATTGATTAATATTTATAATAATGATTACTTGGATTATATAAGATTAAATATATAATACATATTTTAGATAGTAGAAAATAATATCCCTATATGGGGCTTGTTATATGTTCTTATGAGACAAGGTCATTACGATCATGCATTGGAAGCAATAGAAAAGTATGCAAGATACTTTTTAGTGGAAGATTCACTGTTGTTGACAAATTTCAAACGTTTTGTTTCAAACAATAATAGGTATATTAATATTTTTATTTTTATTTCTATTAATTTAATTATTAAATTAAATATAAAAGAAAATACATGGCTTTTTTACTAATTAAATCTACTAATGCTTTTATTTTAGACTTACATCAAATGAAAGACAAGCTTTTATTGCAGAAATAAAACTAAAACCAAAATTAACAGTTCAAACTCAAGACCTTTACAAATCACTTATATATCAGGTAGTAGCACAATTAGAAGAATTGCCTCAAAAACCACCAATCTACATAGTTTCTCCTTCAACAGAAGATCATTTGTGGTTGAAGGTAATTTAATTAATTAACTAATGTCTTGATTTAATTGTTTATTATAAATTTCTTTTCAAAGTCATCGTTATCCATCTTTATTGTTATTTTAGTTATGTTGCATTCGAGAAATCGAATCAATTCAGGATGGATCGAGTGATACTGTGACATTAAGTGGTTTTCAAAAAGAAATTTCGACCTTTGGACCTAATTACTTTACTTCAAATGGAAAAGATCCTATACAATACTTTCGTGCTTTATTACTTTCTCTTCAATTTGAAAGGGTAAGAAAAAATAAAATCGATTAATATAATTTTTTTTATTTGATTCAAAATATTTGATTTTGCGTACATATATAGGCAATAGATTATTTATTGCTAACAGATTATAAAGAGGACGCTGTACATTTTGCTATCACTCTTGCGTATTATGGATTATTAAGAGCACCGGAAGATGGAGAATCTTTAGCACTATGTATGTATAATTATTATTCTAAAATTTTTGAAAAATTAGTTAAAAAAAATAAAAAAAATAAATTTATTAAAACTTTTTTATATTAATCACAAGTTTTTGAAAAAAAAGAAAATGATAGTAACCAAGTAGTTGCTAAATTTAATTTCAACAAACTTATTGTAGAGTATGTTCAAATGTTGATCAGTGATCATGATAATATTGCGACTCATTCATTTCACTATCTTCTTTTACTGTATCTGTATGGTAATCATCGTGATGATTTTGGAAGATACAAAATAGAAATAAATCATGATCACATGAGACATCTAGTGCTTGAAACAAATGCAGTTGGTGAACTTATTGGTGATGCTCAACAAACTGAAGTAATTATCATCATAATCATAATCATCATTTATCAATAATCTATTTAATTTTTTACGAATTTAAACGAAAATATTGAAAAATAGGGCCTTATGAGGAAATACATGAAATTAATGTTTATAAACAATGAAAAAGAATTCAAAGAAAAAATCATAAATATGCTTGCTAGACAATTTTTTGATGATGGAAAATTTAATGCTGCAAGGCGTTTATATGAAATAACCGAGGTACTTGAATATTGTTATTAAAAAAATTTTTTTTAATCTATTAAATATTTTTTACTTGGTTTTTTTTTTTTAGAATTACGAGGAATGTGTAGCTTTACTTAATAAAATACTTGCAGAATATATATGGATTGTCATGAGTGGAGTGCCGGTGCAACCAGATACAGAAATAGAATTTAATCCTAATGAAGTCGCTAGAATATCTAAAGAATATGAACAACTTCATTATACTAATAATGTTTCAGCTAACCTTTTGAATGACAATAAAACATTACTCAAACTAGTTGAATTTGTAGAACTATATAAACAACAAGATTATGGAAGAGCAGTGTCTGTAAGTGATTTATATTTAATAAAAAAAATTTTTATTAGTGTGTTCACATAATACTATTATTAACACTCAAATATGTATATTTCTCCTTTTTCTCTCTATAAATATAAATTTTATATAAAGTCAATAAAAAAAATAGATCTTTTTCCGTTTGTAGATGATATTAGTATTATTATGGAAAAAGCAAATGCAATTAATGGTATAGATGAATCGCTGAAAAAATCTATAACAGAGCTTTTATATATAACTATGAAGTGCATTGTACATCATCAACAACATTTAAAAGATCAATTGATACATGGAACACCAGGGCTAAAAATAGTTAATGATAGTGTAAGTAAATAAAAATAAAATAAATCAAAAAATCACCTCTTTTAAAAAGGCTCAATTAAAAATTTTATAATATTATTAGGAATTATATGAACTTCAGAGAAATGCTAAAGCTCTTGTTACCTTTGCAGGTTATGTACAAAACAGGTATACAATTAATTATTTGATTTCTTTATATATATTTTTTTTTTCTTCCAAAATCTTAACTTATTTTATGTAATTTTATTTTTAGTATTATCACGTCTGATATTTTTTATAAATTAAATGAATTAGAAGTGCAAATGAGATAAATAGAAAAAAATATAGATCAATTAATCAAATTAATCAAATTTTTATTTAATAATAAATAACTTGTTATAATAATAATATAATAAACAGTTACGAATTGAATAAAATAATAACAATAAAAGATAATAACAATAATATCATTACTAATCTAGAAAATTAATAGTCGTAATAAAAATATTTATTCATCGTCATCATCTTCTTCTTCGTCAGCTTCTTTCAACCATTTTGCAAAAGATTTAGATTTATTACGAATATCTTCATTGATTTGAGGTGTGACATAATCCATGTTGAAAGTTCGTTTAAAGAGTTTTTTATATTTTTCAGTGTTTTTACCTTCGAACCAAACAACGAAAACGTCTTCTTCAAGTAAATCAGCACGATAATATTCCATTAAGATTCTACAAATTGTTTTAATATCAAACAATTCTTTACATTTCACGCCAACAAGAATTTCTGTACCTCCTAATAAAGCTCTTTGCCCATCTGCGTCTTTGATTAACTAAACAAGAAGAATAATAATAATTGTTATTATTATTAAATATATTTTTAAAAAAAAACACAAATATTACTTACTTTTTGAAACAATTTCTTTCGTTTATTAATGTGTTTGCCGATAGTTGTGCTTGTTTTAAAAGATTCGGCAAATAAGCTAAGTACAAGCTGCTTAATTATTTTGTCATTTTCGATATCGTTTTCTTTATCAATACCAAGTTCTTTAATCTTTTTGTAGATATCATTGTTAACGGCAGTCTGATTTTCTTCTAACCATTCATCCAATTGATTAAAAGGTTCCAAATCCTCATCGTCATCCTTTATATCCTCGTCATCTTCATCGTCATTGACAGCACTAGTAATAAGAGTTGTTCGAATACCTTCTTCTAGTTCTTTAACACGTTCAGCAACAGCATCAGATGAAGTTTCTTGAGCCCATTCATCATCATCTTTTTGATCAGCGACAGGGAGTTCAGATGCCTCGGCTTGAATACGACGATAAAGTTCATCATCGGAACCTTCTTCTGAAGAACCTCTTGTAGAAGAAGAAGGTAAGGAAGGATCTGTTTCTTCGCCATTTTTCTTTGCTCTTTTTTCTTTTTTCGTAAGTTTACTGCTTTTAGGATTGACAGGTGGATTTTTCAAGATGAAAGTGACAAGTTTATGGCGCATATCGACATCAGTAAATTGACCACAAGCTTTACAATCTCGGATGATTTTTTGGTTAGCACCTTTTCCTTTAATAACCTATTCATTGTAATATATTTATTTAATAAAACAACGCAAATTCAATAATTATGAATAAAAATAACAAATAACCAAGTAGGTGGTGACGATGAGATAACAGAAGCATCATATTTACCAAATCCGTTTCAGGATTACTACAACCAGCGCAAAGTACAAATTTTTTGATAAATAGATGAAGTAATTCTTGAAGTTTAGCAGCATCATGATTACCATTTACAATGTAACGATCGTGTGATTCGTCAAATTTAACTTGGGCTCCAAGTTCACATCCAAAAAATTTAGTAGGATCTATAATTGAAATTGATTAATCAATAAATTAATAAATTATTTTGGTAAATAAAATATTTCACCCAAAAAGATTTTTTTAATACTTACAAGTTGGTGGACGACTTAAAGAACGAGCAATATCAGACATATTAGGAATAACGGTTTTGATTCCATTACCTTTACCTTCAACCTAATTAATAATAACAATAACAATAATGAAATTACTTGTATACAACGTATTTATGCATGATATATAAATAAATTAATTAACTGACTAAAAAAAACTACCTTTGAAATGAGTTTGGGCATTTTATACCGATAAAATCGGTCACTTTGATTACCGCCGATATTTAAAGTACTCATGATTACAATATATTATTGATATATATTTTTATTTAAAAAAAAAAGAAAGTAGTATTTTCAACAAAATAATAAGACAAGGTAATATTATTGATGCGAGTCATTAACTCTTTAGTTTTATGTTTTTGAGGGCGTTTTCTATGAACGTTAGAACGATGCTTTGAATATTTACTATTTTCAAAAAAACAAATCATGAAGTAGTGAAATGTGCTTTTATGTTTTTTTTTTTAAAAGATTATATATGTTAATAATAAAGAATAATGTCCCAAACTTTTAAAAAAAAAGTTAAAAAAAAATTTTTAAGAAAAAAAAATTGGGTTGATATAAAAAAAAATTTTTTTTTTTTTATATCATAAGATTTTATAAATCGTAATACCGCAGTATTATCCACATTTGTAAAATGGACAACTTATAATAATAATAATAATTTATTGTTATTAAGAAGAAATAAAGAAAATTGTTTGAATCTATTACTATTACATTTATAATTTACGTTTTGAATCAAATTATTTTTTTTCAATGGCTAAAATTTCATCCATAAAAATAGAATGAATAAATAGATAGTAATAGTAATATTAATATTAATATATTCTTATTATCCCGGGAAAGAAGTTTCCGGGGTTCAAATGCCACAATAATATTTCTTTTTTAATATAATACAATTTCTTATCTTCAAGTAATTCCTTTCTGTACCCTATCTTCTCGGCACAAAAGGAAACTACTTTGTTCTTTCTCATGCTTAGGAATAATACATAATAGTAATAGTTGACACAATTCAAGTCATCCGTTTCAGGCTTGGCCATTTTTACAATATTAAAATCTCTCGGTTAAGTTTTTTTTGAGCTTCTCTCATTTCTGCTATATATATCTTTATTTGACTTTTTTGTATGGTACTTACTTAGCAATGGGCTTTTTCATAGAATGTTCTTTTTTCTTGGACGTTCTAAATTTGGTTAGAATTAAAAGCAGCAATTATAAATGCTTATCCCTAATATTAAATACTAACGCTTAATATTAAATACACGTTTTTTTAATAAAATATTCAATCGGCAATTTTCTCTTTTTCAAAGAAGAAATATTTATTATTTATTATAAATTTTTTTATAGCTCGTTCTGTTTGTTGTTTTATTATGGAATCGCCACCATTAAAGAATAGATTGTGGGGAGGTTGTAACCAAGTATAACGAAACATATCAGTTAATGGTGCCGAAGAATCTCGGAGTCATAGCTGGTGCTAATTCAAAATTTGATGTGGAATACAGAGAAAAACCATAGAAATTATTATTACAGAAAAAAAAACATTTTTCATTGAAGCCGGCGGCGTTGAACTTTTCGTTCTAGCTTAATTGATCATTTGATTTTTAATGACCTGGGAAATGATAGACATTACGTGTTTTCCTAAAATCCCATATATGCATTAGATAGATAGATTATTTCTGTAATACTTTATGAAAAAAAAATCGAATGATTGGGAAACAACAAATATATAAATTAAAAAGCGAGCAAAAATATGAAAGTCAAAGATAAGGCCGCAAAAAATTTATTAAGCAATCGGGGGAAAAAATGAATATATAAAACTGTTGCAAGGAGAACTGTAAAAAAAAAGTCAAAAGAGACGAGCAACTAAAAAATGTTATTAACTTTCTTGGAGGAAGAAAAAGAAAACAGCCCCAAAAGCGAAAATGCTATTAAGAACTTTAGAATAAAGTTAAAGAACCAGAAAGCAGAAGCCTGGAATAGATAAGCAAGAAGAAATTATTTAGCATCCAAGAGAAATAAAAGCTGAAATGAGGCAAATTGAGTTAACCCAAATAAAAATAAGTCAAGGCTGAAAAGTGAAAGAAGAATAAATTCAGCATGGATTTATGCTTTGAATTAATTGTTCACTCTGCCTTATTATTTGAATAATTGAAAAATAGGATATTCCAATATTTAATATAGATTGATGGATATATAGGATATATATAATATGGCCTTTAATTAAATCGAGTTGGTTATAATCAAATACTTTCGTGATTTTATGTGATTATTGGTGTGATAAGTTTGTAATATTATCCAAAATTGGGAGAATGCAAAGACACTAACACTAACACCAGTACTAGACTTGGCAATTGACGCCAATTAAATAAATGCAAAGTTTCGTAAAACACCGTCATTGCTATTTTTGTACACTGTGTAAAAAAAATACAAAAGAACTTATTTTTATCAAAAAAAAATATTAAATTATTATTTTTTTAATAAAATACTTTTAATAATAATGGCCGTCCCACAAGAGCCTTCATTTAATGAAAATGAAAACGATTCTCAAACTACTACTGCCAAGAACTCTTCTCCTTCTAAACAAACAAAGCCCATTTCAACACCAAATTCTCAAGACGATGGGTATAATTTATCTGTAGTAGTAACAACTTTGGATAAAAGCCGCCGAGAACCAGTTTTTAAATTTAAAGCCACTGTATTTATTTGTTTAATTAATTATTCATGATCGTGAATTTTGCATTTATACATGCAAACTAATTAAAATTCTATTCTTTGGGGGAATAAGACAAATTTACCTAAATACAAGCAAACAACATATTCTTCCGTAGAACGTTCATACATCGAATTGGAACGTTTGTATAATTCGTTATCTTATTCTAATCCGGAATGTATTGTTCCGGCATTACCTCATCCAACAACCAGTTATCAAGCAACCGAAGAAGATGAACGTAGAGTTAAATCTGCAATGCAATTATGGTTTAATAGAATATCATCAAATCCTGTTTTACGTAACGATAAAGAACTTAGATCCTTCATAGAGACAGATTTTGCTGTATGGGTTTTTTCTTAAATATTACCAATTAATCATAATTTATATATTAAATGTTGTGTTTGTTTGCTTTTGACAGTTTGTACCGTCAACTAAACCACGTAGAAGAACTGGTCCATTTAGATTTGGATTTTCTTCAGATATAAGGGATGATGATATGAAATTGGCAGAATCAAAGTCATTAGCAAATATATTTGAAAATCATTTTTTTGATAATGCTAAATCTGTTCAGAAATTGGCTAGATATAGAAAAGGTAATAAATATATCTATATCTATAATATATCTATATATATAGTATATTTTTTTTCTAAATGTTATTGTATTTTTAGGACTATCAATATATAATTCAGATCTTGGATCCAAGTTTGCTGCCATGGGCACAGTTGAAAAACATCCACCATTAGCACAGTATGTATTTATATATTTATATCCTTGTTTATTATTTATATATTATTATTATAATCGTTTTATTAATAAAATTATAAATTCTAGTGGCTTACGAAGGCTAGGAAAAACACTTCAAGTAGTTGGTGAATTACAACAATTACAAGCTGTTAGTGAAGCTGCTGCACTAGGAGATTTCTTTAGTTATTATGCTATGAACTCACATGCAGCAAAGGTTTGTTTATATATATATATATATATATATATATAAATTTTTTTCCATATATTTTATATATTATTTAAACTAGTTTTTGAATTATAAAATTAAATTAACAGGAGACTTTATCAAATCGACTTAAAATTATCTCGGAACATGATGATGCAGTAAAAACTACTATAAGTAAACGTCGTTATATTGAAAGATTAAAATCTTCAACATCAATTAAACAGGAAAATGTTGACGAAGCATTAAAAGATTTAGAATATGTATGTATTTATAAAATTTATTTATTTATAGATTATCATCTTTTTAATTTTAATTTTTCTGTTTTTTCACAAAAATAATCTTTTTTTATTTCGAAGGCCAAAAACTATGAGCAAAATCTTGATGCAAGAGTAAAACGAGTTACCAAAAAACTTCATAGTGAACTTGAAATTTATGAAAATAATAGAGCTCAAGATTTCATGGCAGCAATTCAAGAATATATTAAGAAACAAATTTTATTTGAAAAACAACAATTAAAAGAATGGGAAAAATTAAAGCCTGATGTCGATTTAATCACAAATAAAAATATGGTTGTTCATATTTATGAAAAAGAAGAACTTGATCCCCGTGCTATTGCCGAGAGACTTAGTACTTTTGGTTAATAATTAAAAAAATGTAATTTGTAAAATCAAAAAAAAAATCAACTTAATAATTTAAAAATTTTTTTTAATTGGGAAATTTTATTTTAATATACTATATATTATCTATATTATTTTGTATATTTTATTTTTGTAAATTTATATTATTAGATAATAATAATAACAACCATTATATATTAAAAATTACGTATGTGAAGTAATAAATTAGGTATTATTGTTATTATTATTATTATCATTATCAATCATTATTATGATTTTGCATACTAATACAACAAAAAATTTTATCTTAATAAAAGTTTTCATCTTTGGAAAATATCACTAATTCTAATCACAAGATGTTCATCATTAAAATATATTTACAAGCTTGTGAATGATTTAAGAAATACTCGGACTTTTATGATACGGAAGTTAAAGTTGGAGCGGATGACTAAGATGATGTAAAGTTCATTCCAATATTTTAAAGGCAAGGTCTTTTTATTTTATCAAATAATTTGGCTAAAAAATCCAAAGATGACACTATCATTCATTGAAAAATATTTTCCCTAAATACTTTTAACATAAAATTAAATCATTTGATAATTCTGCTAGTTAATCTTTTAATATTAATATGAGACATGCTTTGCAACAAAATGAACATTGATATTACCAAGATTTTCAGAGTTCACTAAAAAATAGAATTGCGATCACGCACATTTACAAGAAAATTAACATTTCTTCTTCAGCATCAAGAATAAAGGAAAAATAAAATTTATAAATAAGCAGATAAAAATTCAAATAAAAATTCTTAATAGACAATATCAAAAATCATCATCATAAACTCTTTGGGGTACTCGATATAAGTTGATTAACAAATCTAATTAATGAATGTCATAATAATAATTATACATGAAGTCGAAACTGATTTTTAGCCTCAAGTCGAAACATTTAGACTTCATATAATAATAATGTAAATCAATATATGCGGATTTTTTAATGGTATCCCCATTTTTTCCTCTAAAAAAGGAAACAGTGTAACAAAAAACTTTGCAGTTTTTTTATTTTGAAAATTTTAGAAACCTTTCAAGCAATCTATAGAATATATTATTTCACATAATTTTTTTGGGAATAAATAAAAATATTACGATGAAATTGTATTTTGAATGAGTTTTTTTACGCCATTGGTATTTTTACATCCATTAAATCTTTCCATAGCTCTAATCTATATTACATATACTATCTTGCACGCAAATTTGGTGCCAATATCCTTGAAAATGGAGGAGTAGCGGTTTGAAAACAACATGTTTTATTAGTATTACGAACTTTCAATCGCTAAGGCTTCTGGAAAATCGTTACATTTATAAAATCATTAGAGGTTTTTAATTAGGAGACGTTTCTAGAACAGTGCTATGGAGAGAGAATCTTTATTTCATACTATTTTTTCAAAAGTTGCAATAGGTAGAAGTATTAAAATAAAGAAAATTTTTTTTCAGTATTTCAAATGAATTTTTTTACGCCATTGGTATTTTTATATCCATTAAATCTTTCTATGGCTCTAATCTATATTATATATACTATATTGCACGCAAATTTGGTGTCCATATCTTTGAAAATGGAGGAGTAGTGATTTGAAAACAACATGTTTTATTAGCGTTTTACTAGTATTATGAACTTTCAATCGCTAGGGCTTCTGAAAACCATTACATTTATAAAATTATTAGAGGTTATTAATTAGGAGACGTTTCTGGAACAGTGCTATGGAGAGAGAATCTTTATTTCATGCTATTTTTTCAAAAATTGAATAGAGGTATTACGATAAAGAAAGAAATTTTCAGTATTTCAAATGAGTTTTTTTATGCGACTGGTATTTTTACATCCATTAAATCTTTCCATGGCTTTAAAATATAACGTATATACTAATACTACCTTTCATGGAAATTTGGTATCCATATCTTTGAAAACGGAGGAGTAATGGTTTGAAAACAATATGTTCTTTACGTAAATTTCGTAAGCGAAAAAAAATCAATCATTAATCAGTTTGTCGCACAACTCTTGTTGATTAAAATACAAAACTTTAAAATCTTTTCAATAACTTCACCAAATAATTCTATAAACAGCTTTTTCTTAAAAAACATTTAACGCGAAGATAATTACTTTGCCATTGAATTCATCTTGGCTTATTAATTGGTCTTTTTCCTCATTATAAACATTACTACCAAGCTCTGTAATATAAGAGTTAAAGCTCTGAACAGTTCGGTTTGGTTTTTAATTATTATTGAACACAAAAAAAATTTTATTTTTCAAGTACAGTCAAACCTCCGTTTCAACAATTAAATTCACATTTCAATGATTTTTTAAAAAACTTGCTACGTATAGTAATCTCTCATTTCAACAAATTTTGAATGAAAATTTCTTATATGTCCAATCACTTCGTTGAAACAAGGTTTGACTGTACAAGCTTCTTGTATATAATTAAATTAATTAGTAACATTCTAATTACAAATATTGCACTTTAATTACTATTTAGCAATTTAATCATGAATTTGCACTTTTTGTGTAATTTCAATTCAGTGATTTAATCTGAAATAGCTCTTCAAGTACGAAATCGAATGTTATATGAAATAAATAAAATGGAATAAATAAATTATAAAATATACTAATGCGGAATTAGAGAATTCGACGATGAATCAGCATTAATTTCTAACCAGCATCTTTAAGTTTAAAAATAAATTTGGTTCGGTTTCAGTTTGTGCCCAAAAGCTTCGGTTTGGTTTCGGTTTATAAACTGAAAGTTTGGTTTGGTTTGGTTTGGCTCACTCATCAAACAAGCTCAAACCGAGCCATTAGGAGCCTTACAAAGAATTGATAAAATAACTAACAAAATAGAGCCCGGGAAAAAATACAGATCTAGTAAAATAGTTGATAAAAAGAAATACTTGAAAAAAGTTGAGACTTTATGGAATGACTTCACACAATTATTAGGTAAAAAGATTGGATTGAATCCTAATTTTTCATTCAGCAAAATGACTAATGAATTACTTGGAGAGAAAGGTGTTGCCACCTCTACTATTAAAAATTTATACGAATGAAAATAAATCCTAGAAGGAACGATGGAATCAATCCAGGAATAGGTCAGCAATGAAAAGAAGAAGTGGAGAGCGAAGTGACAAAAGATAATGAAAACAAAGAAGATACAAATATTAATAATAAAATTATTGATAATAATAGCAGTGCCCAAAGAATAGGAATGAAATTTATGCGAATTCGCAATTCACATACGCGAAATTCAAATTAGCCAATCAGAATTTCAATTTCATATCCAAACATCCCACCTCAAACAAAATTTTAATTTTAACGAAAGAATACAACTCAACTAAATCAGTGCAACATACTTGGAAAGAATTGGCAACGACGATGCTATCTCTCTGGAAATTTTCGAAAGGAAAATTTTCATTTCACAAAATTGATTGCGTCGTATAAATCTTTTGATCATGATCACTCTCCCAAATTTTTTTAAACGTTCAAAGGTTATATTTATAAGTAAAAAAGAAATCATTTGATTAAAATCGAGCCACTAAAAATTTGGGATTAATCATTATTGTTAAAGAAAAACAATTTGGAATTAATTCATTTATTATTTAAAAAAAAATATTTTATTAATTTAAAGGAAAATCAATAAGTTTTTTTTGAAAAGATTCTTGCCTTTTTGGAAAATGAAGAAAAATGTAACAATTTGGGAAGTTGTTTTATTAAAATATTTATTTTAATATTTAAAAACGACCATGCCTTTTTTTGAAAGTGTGAAGAAAAACGTATTAATTTTATTATTACCATGCTTTTTGAAAATGTGAAGAAAAAAACGTAACGATTCGGAACTAATTTTATATTAAAAACAACCTTTTTTGAAAGTGCGAAGAAAACGTAACGATTTGGACTTTTTAATTTAATTAAAACATCGAAGCGTGCCTTTTTTGAAAATGTGAAAAAAAAAACGTTATTATTGAAGGAATTGACAAAGCTTTTTTGAAAAAGGTTTTCCTGTTGCTTATTGCGAAGAAGAAAAATGCAACAATTCGAAATATTTAACAACCATGCCCTTTTTGAAGTGGCGAAGGAAATCCTCATTAATATAAAAAATAGCGGCAGAGTATGAATTGTAAATTATAAAAAAAATAAATAAATCGTTAAAAATTCTTGTATAATATAATTGTTTTCTTTAAAAGAAGCAGTAAAAAGATTCTTTTTTATATCCCCTGTATGAAGCTTTACATTCAAATGATTGTTTCTTTAAATAAAATCAACGGAACCAGAAGTGTGATTATTTATAGAAAACAAATTTTTTGAGAAAAAAATACGGATAATTGATTTAATTGTTAAATGGCGATTTGATGTGAGTGAAATAAAATAACCATTGGGGTCTAAAGAATTATTATTATATATAACAATATTGATTATAGATGTGAAGGGAGATAGTGTGATAGTTAGAACGGATTGAGGATACTATATTAATATATTATTGCTATGATAATATTACTCACAACAACAATTATAATGTATTTAGGTGGAGAGACTGTGCCAAAAGAATATTTTACCAGTGGGTAAATGAATGAATAAACAAATAAAAGTTAGTTTAACAATTTTATATTATAATGAATGAGGTAAAATTATTATTATTGCTATTAGCAAAAAGATTACAAAAGATTTTTAATTTTTTTAATTGATATGAAGAACAATGCACAAGTAAAGTAATATATTTATAAAAACGATCTAAATTATTGATGGTGAAAAAGGAGAGAGGGAGAAAAGATAGAAAGAATTATGAAGGAAATTTTCTTATATATATGCAAAATAAGTAGGCCTGTATTCACGGATACCGTAACGAGGTCACACAGGATCACACGCCATTAAAATCAAGGGATTTTTTGCTGTTTTAATAGTGTGTAACCCCACTCAATGGTATTCATGGTATCCGTGAATAAATAAGTAGTGATTATAATTAAAAAGAAATTGTATATAAAAATATTTTTATAAAGGTGAAGATAAGATTGGTTTAAGTTGGATCATAGATCATTTTGGCATAGTAATTTTAAGTTCTTTGTAATATTCCAATGTTCTTATCTATTTAATATTGTTTTAGAAGTTATTCATGGGTAATAATTCCTTGGAATTGAGAATGGTCACAAAAAAAAAACTTTACCTCAAATTTTAATATTGTTTTACAATTTTTGAAATTCTTTTTAAGCATTCATCAGATGATGGCAACTTAAATCCATTGTAATTTTTGATGATATTTAATCCATCAATTTCATGCATGCTCAAAAAAATTTTTTTTCCTGTTAAAAATTATAATCAAGTCAATCCATGATCCTCTGAAAATAAAAAATAAACACAAACACTAGCTATGCATACCATATACCAAGATTGAAAAGGCTTATCTATATTGGTATTAAATATCAAATATTCTTTTTGATTCCCAATCAACAAGGACATTAATATAACAATAAATGAAGAAATACAACTGATGAGCTTATGTTTGGATGAAAATAGCAGATGTACCCTTCAACAATTTTTCACAATTGAAGTTCATGTGTGCAATCTTTTGATTGTATGCATTGCCAACAACTTCTATAAATCCAATCTGTATTTCTTCACCATGTAATAATGTATAAATTATACCATCATGCTTATTTCCAAATTTTGAAGATTCATCATCTTTTTTGCTATCTTTCCATTGAACTTTTTTCACTGTGTTTTCAATTTCACCACTAAATCCAATATCAATGAAATTTTAATTCAAAATTTCAGAATGATATATATATATAACTTTTAACAGTTTACTTATGTTTTGATCCAAACTAAATCTTCTATGTTGTGAAAAGCTTCAGCAATTAATGGGTTAATAATCTCATCACAGTATCGAAATTCAGATGCACCATGATTGAATAATGAGCCTCTTTTTCATATGAATTGTTTGATACTGATGAAAAAGATGTTAATTAGATAAAGTTGTAAAACAATAAAATAAGAAATCTATCATTATTATCATAAAACATACAGACTCATATAAACATTTTGGCACTAGATTAATTCGAAATCACATATGGGGCATGGACAATAGAAACAGCCCAAATGTCAAAATCACAATTTTGAGATAATTAAAAAAAGATTTTGGCCCAAAAATTCGGTATATGTGTATCATTTCCTTATTTATTTTTAAAAATTTTGGTATATATATATACATTTTTTGCTGTCTTGATACGTGTAACCGGCCCCTTGATTTGTTATTTTTGGAGTAAATATCCCTATTTTACTTTCTTTTTGAATTCTACTAATACCAAACCAATCACTTTTATTAGTAAAACCAAACACTTTTTTATATATACATATACAGTGAGTAGAATCTTGTAGGATTGCAAGTAGTTAGTTGAAGGAAATTTTATTTTGTAATTTGTGCCACCAGAATGCAAATTTGACCTTAATTCACTGATCAATAATCCTGTAATTCTGGAGTAAAATTATCTATATTATTTATATTATTTATATTTTATCTATATATTATTTATTTTTAGTTATTTATTTTATCTATTATTTATTTTTAATTTTATTATATTCTATTTTTATTTGTATTAATTATCTGAATGATTTAATTAGTTATATGAACCCACAGATTTAATTAATTTGTAACAAGTTAGCATTAGACCTTTATTTAGTAGAAATTAATGATGATTATCCCAGATTGGGCTATATATCCCAGACTGGGAGAATTATCCAAGTACAAAGTGGGAGAATTATCCCAGACTGGAGGAATATCCCAACCTGGGCTAAATATCCCAAATTGGGATACATATAATTCAACATGTATATAAGGAATGAGAGAATTCACTGTAGTCAAAGAATAACTTTGTAACAAATTAACTTAATAATAAATTAATAATTAATTTCAACTAAATACAAAATTAAATAAATCATTTTTATCAAATCACTAAAACAAAATTATCTGCTAATAAATCTAATTTGTTAGTATTAGCCTATTCATTCTGATCCACATAAACTAATAAAAATTTGTTATCATCAATTAAAACATGCTTTCCCAAAATTAATTGGTGACAATATCAATAGAAAAGATCTAACAACATCAGTTTTCAAAATTATTGAAAAAAGATGAAACAGTTATAAGAAAAATCAGAGCTTGGAAACGATTATTGAATGCATCTGGTTGTAAATAAATAAAAATTTACAAAAATAATGAATATTGGTCAAAAGCTGAAGATACTGCAGCAGATTTAGAAACATTGGATCTTTTTTTTACTGAGACAGACCTAAATTTACAACCAGAATTGGATTCCGATTCAGATATAAAAATCTTTTGGAAATGTTTTGAAGATGCAATGAGTCCAAATATAAAAAGGCGATGATGGCCAACAAAGAATTTTGTTCATAATTGCTGAAAAATTTTCTTTAGTGGAGTGAAAGTTACTATCTGATTTTCCTCACCTCTAGTAAAAGTATATGGATATCAAAGTTATCTAGATGGTCAAGGTAGAAACTACATTTTTTTTCCTATTTTACATATAATTATAAAGTTTATTTGAATATTATTATGTAAATAATTTTTTGTCAATTGAAAATGTGATTTTACATATACTTAAAAATTATATAGTCACATAACGTAATTTCGAGATTGTTACAATGATATGTAGACATGGTAAATCAAACTTCCATTATGCTGATTTTCCCTAAAATTTTATTTCCAAAAAAATCAAACTTTCACTATGCTATGAATATGGCTCTTATCTTGCTTACATTCCGTTTTACCTTGATATAATCCTTGATTTTTATGGTGAATGTTGTTGACATCAGTTGTGATGGAAATCTTTTATTAATAAGCAGAAGGCCTTTGATATTCTGTGCAAGAGAATAACAAATATTAATGGTGACAGTACAGTTGTTGCATTTGGTGATGGTAAATTCTCATCAACATCATGTGGGCATGCTCCAGGCCTCTAAAAGAATTTTACCAAGAGCTTTCTAGACACTGCAAGATGGTGAACATTGATGAGTTCCATACTTCCTCAGTCTGTTCTTTGTGTGATGGGTGGTTTGATAAGCATCAAAAATTCTGGTCTGTCAGAGTCTGCAAATCAGTCTATCTGACACATTGTAATCAAGATGTTAATGCTACCCATAACATAAGGAACATTTTTTTGCACACAACACTTATGGAGAGAGACCTGATCCATTTATAAGGGGGACTTATTGACCTCTCTGCTGTTATTTTAAATGTGACAGGATATGTTTAGCTGGTGGCAGCAGCAGCAATGATGATTTTCTATGAAGTCACAATTAGTTATAGGGAGGATTTGAATCTTCCTAATTTAGTGTACAATATATTTTTATTTATTTATAAAGACAATTTATTAATGAAAATGAAACAACAATTCGTTGAGCACTTACTTATATATTACTAATTTTTCTTATAAAATAAATATTACCACAACAATAATAAATATAATTATATCTACAAACAATAAAAATTAAATAAATAAATAATCATTATACCATCAATGACAGTATTATTAAATTTTTTTTTAATAAGATTAACTGGCATAAATATCAATTTTCATTCCCTTTAACACTTCACCAGCTTTTGGATGTCTATTTAAAGCTGCCAATTTCAAATATTTAACTCCTACTACTGGATCTTTTGCGACACCAAGTTTTCCATTAATATACATATCACCCAAATTAAATTGGGCTGTGGGATTTGAATTATCAGCAGCCAATTTAAGATATCGGATAAATTCTTCTTTGTTAAACTTGGTTTTATTTTCAACTAATGAGAATGCATATCTTAATTGTGCATCAGGAACACCTTCATCAGCTGCTTCTTTAAACAATTTAGCTGCTGCCGCTCTATCTTTGTAACCACCATATCCTTCCCACAAATAATATCCTTTCCAATATTTTGCACCTGAATTTTTAAGTTCAGCATTTGCTTGAAAACATGTCCATGCTGTTTTGTGATCTTTTGCTTTATGAGCTTTAATACCTTCATCAAGAGTCATAATTTGTGTAATTGTACTAGCTTGAGATTGTTCATTGATTTGACTACTATCAACATCTTCATCACTTACAGAAATAGGTTTCTGGCCTTGTTTTAAAGATCCATCAAAATCAATGGATTTTGATGGGAATAGGCCTGATTCAGTAAGAGAACTAGGGTGTTGTGAACATAAACGGTCTAATTGAAGGAAAATATTCTGAAGTGATGATCTTAATAATGGATCATCTTCCCATGCTTTTTTTTGATTTTTTAAATATTTACAAATCAGATGATAGTAATAATAATAAGTTACAAAATATTAATTTCAAATAAATAATTTGTTTGTATGTTAAATTATTAATCTTACCTCCTCTTATAATTTTAGCATAATCTTCTTGAAGGCTTTTGGTGTCAGGATCTGTCTCACCAAATCGTATGTTTTCTCTACCACCATCTAATACATATGACCTGACTTTTGACATATCCCATTTTTCATAGGGAACTCTTTCAAAAGCAAGTTCCCAAAGCAACATACCAAAGCTATATAGAAATGGTATAAATCATTAAAATTATTAATCAATAAATTACTGAATTACATAAATATTGATTTTTTTAAAAAAAATATACCTGAAAATTTCGCATTTAAAGTTATAAGATTGTCTTGGACCAAATCTCAATTTTTCTGGAGCCAGCCAATGAACAATTTCTGTTGTATTTTTCACATCGGAAGTTACACCACTAGTATGACGAGCATAATCAAATTTAGCAATTTTTGATTTACGATTTTTGTCCATCTTTTATTATTATTATTAAAATAAATAATATATAAATAATATATTAATATTAAATAAATAATATATAAATAATATATTAATATTAAATAAATAATATATAAATAATATATTAATATTAAATAAATAAT